CATTCTTAAAGTCTTGGGTGAAAGGTTTCTCAGCTGGCAGGGCTTCCTGATGCTACACTCACTGAAGGGAATGTGGGGATTCTCCTGTCACTGATTCCACACTTTTCTCTATCATCTGTGGACTCTGAGGGTACTCAGGACAACCGAGCTGTGGCCCTTGAAACCATGGACATCCAGGAGGTCCAATGAGGCAGACAAAGCGTTATGCTAAGCCAGCACCTAGGTGAGAGGCACGGAGGCCTGACTATTTAAAAAAGGACTTTAACCTTCTTGGTCCCTCCCCCTATAAGGCAGACTTCTTACAGCTTCTATCAAGGCAACTTATAAGTCATAAGGTACAAAATGTTCTTATAAAAATCTTGAGACATCCCTGGGAGCCTTTCCCCTGGTGTCTGCTTTGACCCTGCCAGTAGGCACAGACAGAAGAGGTTGGGTTTCATATTTTGACAGGGATGCGCCACTTTTTTGATTTGTATAGGTTTGCCCCAAATCCTAGCTCCAGCTGATTGATTACTCTTTTTATATAAATTTGTCTCGTGGCAGTTTTACGAAAGGGAGTTTAAGACAAGTAAATATCAGGCCCTGGGCTACTGCCAGTTCAAGAGCTATGACTTTGAAAATCATTTTTGTTGTCTGGTAAATGGGCATCATTAGAAATTAGGTCCCGGGCCTCCCTGGTGGCGCAGCGGTTGAGCACTGCGCTGCGAAGCTGCCCACAGCCTCTGCAGCGCCGGTTCGATCCCCGGCCACCAGCAAGGGTCCCACATGGTGCGCAGACCTCTCCTGCCGTGCCCGCTGCTCCCCTCAGCAGTATATTTCATCAGTCTGCCTGTTCTGCTCCCCGCTCTGGCTCTAGTGAATTCTCACCCTCCCGTGCTTCTGACTGTACCCAGTGCTTGTATAAATAAGTAAATAAATCTCTAAAAAAAAAAAAAGAAAAGAAAAAGAAATTAGGTCCCAGTACCTTGTCTGTGGGCTTGTGTTCAGTCTCTACTCTTCAGGTGTGTTCAGGGACTCTTTCATCAGATGAGGAGAGTGGCTTACAATAAGCTTGTTGTATTCGGGTCACACTAGTAACAGGAGTGATTAAGTCCAGTAGACCCCCGGGGGAGGAGACTGTTCATCACTCACAGTTAGAGCTCCAAGGTTAAAAGGAGGGACACCACCACTAGAAAGAAGGTGGTGCTGAACACCTGCCTTCTTTCCTCGTTGCAGAGGGGGGCTTCCTCATTTGTCTTAAAAAAGGGTATGGCTCTCTCCTATATCAGAGTTAAGACCAATTTTCAGGTGCAAACTTCTCCTGTCTCACCTGCTGCTTCTCTTAGCCATATATTTCAATAAGGTACCCATACATTGGACAGCTCACCATAGCTGAGATGTGGGGGTTCACTTCCCTCCTCTTGACTCTCCCTATTGCCAGCACCCAAGTCTACATTGCTTTGCATGGTGACCCAGCTCCTAGACCTCTGCTCAACAGTTGGTGAGTCACTCAGACCCGGATCTTGACATAGGGCCATGGTATATGGTCCTAGTTGGATGGGAGGGCCTCAGACTCAGCTCTGGGGATGCCCCTGCTTTGGCTTTGTGCTGTCCTTGTGGGTACTTTCCTTTTACTGCTGCAGAGATCATAAAATGTTCTCTCTCAATTCCACAGAATTTGCCCTTGACATTCTTAAAAACTAGCCAAATTTGGTCCAGGCTCTAGTCTTAATCTTTGAATACTAGTTTTAATCTTTAAATACTGCCTGGACCCAGTACAAAAATCTGCCCCATAAATGGCATCCTCACCTGTAACACCCTTCTCCAGCTAAACCTCCTTTGCCATGGCCAAGGTAAAGGATAAAATGCTGGGAACTAAAAAAGGGACCCACTGCAACTGGCTTGGGGGGGGGTGCCTCTGGTATCAACAAGCAGCTGCCTGGACCTTTGCACCAGTGCTAAAATTATTGAAATATCTCTGCTGCCTTCCAGCTGTGGGAAAACTACACTCTCCTTTTGTCCACCTTGAGACACTGTTCTAGTCCATTACATGGGTAAAAAATTCTATTTCCCTGTGTTTCCTAATCTGAAAGTCTAGACTGTTTAAAGTAAAAATTGCTGAGTTACCTTGGATTTACTAACCAGCTATACAGGATGCTTATTGGTTAAGTAAAAACTTCTAGATTGCTTATTGGACCTATAAAAGTTTAGTTTCTTATTTAAACTAATTAATCTGATAAACTTAGAATATAACTTTATTTTTTTTTCTTTCTTTAAACTATATTCTAAACCTCAAATTTCTGATAAAAGTCTAGGAATAGACAAACTTAAAAAAATATCTTAATCTACCTCTTCTCCTGTTTTCCCATACATGGTCCCTAATATGCTTGGCCTTAGTAAGCTAGAACAAAAACAATGTAAAACCAAGGGATATTTTCTTAAAAATACAAACTCAAAATGTTTTTTTATCTAAAAAAGTTAGTAAAATGACTTGTCTTTAAAATTGTTTTGGTCTTGGGCCCCAGGTTTTTGGTGATGGTTAAAATTGGACACTTATTCTGTATATAAGGATTTTAACTTCTACCTAATTAAAAACCTCCTTGATACAAAAGTGTAAATAATGTAGTAAAATGAATATTTTAAAGGTTCTAAAAGCAAAGTAAAGAAAAGTGTTAAAGCCAGTGTTAAAGGTCTGAGAGGAGGAAAAAAAAATTTAAAAGCAAAAGAAAGGCTTAAAAGTCTGAAGGCAAAGCAAAAGTGGGTCTGAAGGCAAAAATAAGTGTCTGAAAAAGCCAGCCCAAGGGCCATGTTCTCAGTGCCATCACATGGGGCACCAAAAGAGGGACTGTTCTACTCTCCAAGAGAGGGGATCAGCCCAAACCACAGGCCAAGATGGGAGGACAGGCTTAACCATCAGCTGCCTCTGACTATAAAGAATCAGGTACAGGAAAAAAAATGTTTTCTAAAGAAGCCTAGGTGAAACAAGCCTCAGATGACCCTAAAAGTGACAGACAAAAAAAAAATATATCACTTTTTTGGTGAATAAAGGGCCACTTACTCTGCCTTGCTCCAATTCTTTAGACTAGCCTACTAGTCAACTATCTCCCGCACTAATGGCCAGCCTGAGCCAGGACACTGTATAGCCCTGCTACCGTGCTCATGGCCAAGGCTGGGGGAGTTTGTGTGCCCTCTTAAATAAGTTTTTTTTTAATTAACACTTCTAGTGAAATAAAAAAAAACCTTAAAGGGGGCCTCCCCGGTGGCACAGCGGTTGAGCGCTGGGTTGCGAAGCTGCCCGCAGCCTCTGCAGCACAGGTTCAATCCCTGGCTGCCGGGCAAGGGTCCCACATGGTGCGCAGACCTCTCCTGCCGCCCGCTGCTCTCCTCAGCAGTGTACTTCATCAGTCTGCCTGCTCTGCTTTCCCCTCTGGCTCTGGTGAATTCTCTCACCCTTCTGCGCTTCTGACTGTAGCCAGTGCTTGTATAAATAAATAAATAAATCTTTAAAAAAAAACCTTAAAGGTATTAAAAAATATCTGTATTATAAATGACCTTGAAAGACAGACAGAACATGGCCTAGTTGACTACAAATAATCTTTGCCTCTATAAAAAAAACAACTTCTGCCCTGGTTGCTCTCTTTTCTCATTCCCTTACTAATTTTCTTTATTGTTCTCTTGTTTGGGCCTTGCATCCTCAACACCCTCATCAAAATCATTTCCTCTCGCCTAAAGGCTTCTACTGTCCTTCTGAGGTCCCTTAGAGCTTCACTTTGCGATGCAGCCCTGGCTGCTTCCCCACGTTGCCCATGTTCAACAGAAAGCAGTTACTGATCAGATTGAGGCCCTCTGTCCTAACAGCAGTTAGGGGCTCCATCCATAGATGGGTTAAGTAGACAGCTTCAGGGACAATACAGGTAGGGACTTTGGGAGAGTTAAACAGGCTTCTGAGATAAGGACAGTAACCAAAACAGTCCAGAGATGAGGTCAGAGAGTCCAGGAGAATTAAACAAAAAGAGTAAAACTTAAAAAAAATAAGACCTTGGATGGGGGGGTAAACTCTAAGATAGGGGAAAAAATTGGTTAAATACCTCTAGACATAGGCCCACAACAGCTCCCTTGCCACTCTCTGGACTGGTTCCACCCGCCTGAGAGTCCTTTTCACCTTAATAAACTTTTTCTTTCTCTAAACAAATTTGCCTCTTCTCGCTTGCTTGCCTGAGCATCAGCAAAGTTCCTGCTGCAGCTCTGTGAGACACCAACCTGTGGTGGTCTAATGGCGGGGACTCAGCGCTGCCCCTGCAGCCTGGGATCCATTCCTGGCTGGGAGACTAGGCCTGAAAACTGCAATTACATTATCATTATGCTAAATGAAATAAGTCAGAAGGAAAAAGACAAATGCCATATGATTTCACATATTTGTAGAATATAAAGAAAGCAAAAGTGAAAACAAATTCAGACACTGACCATAAAATGGAGGTTACCAGAAGGTAAGAAGTAGGGAAGATTGGGTAAGAGTAGATTAGTTGATGGTGGATAGTGAGTGGACATTTGGTGGTGGGAATGGTTAGAAAATGTAATCTTGGAACCTACATACACAGTGTTATAAACTAATGGTACCTCAATACAAAAAAAAAAAGAAGAAAGAAAGCAGATATAAAAAGGGGACTTCTGTATTATGATGATAAAAATAAAAAGTGCTTAATCATTCATTAAAACATTTGTTCATGATCAAGTGTAATAGCAATTTTGTAACCAAAGAGAACCAAATATTCTATAATTTGCGAAGACTAACATAGACAATAACAAATAAAGTTATCATTTACTCGTCCAAAAATCTCTGGCCCCTAACCACACCTATAATTCCCTGAAATGATCAGAATTAAAAGGTGATGTTACCTCAAAAAAGGAGGGGAAAGAATTCATATAGAAAAAAATTAAAAAATAAAATATCTTATGTAAAAAATAAAAAAGGGAATTAATATTGAAAAATATGTTAGTGCTGTTGGGAATAAAATACATACCTTGAACCACAACATCTGGCTTTGGTACAGTAGAAAACCTACGATTCAGGGGATCAATTTCTCCAGGAGCTAAAAACCCCTAAAGAAGAACCATAAAAATGTAGATTATTATATCTCAAGAAATAAGTTAATGTTTGAGAAGAAACTATATACTAATGCTATAACCCTATACCACAATGTGTAAGAGGCAGGGGTGGAATGGAAACAAGTATTTTCACTATATGAAAATGTCTAAACTTCCTGAATTCACATCCAAATTAATTTTATCTAAAGTTAATTTCTACTGACTGCCATACAAATTGTGTTTTGGAAATAGATGGGATATAAATTATAAATAAACAATGTTTTCTACTTATACTTCCACTTTCTCTGGATGTACATGATTATACAACCAGACCACAATGCTAGTAACTCACAACTTAAGTTATTAGTCCTGTTTCTCATTTATTTGTGTGTCGGTTATGCTTTCTGCTCAGCAGATATCATTTGAATTTGACTTGAGTTTCTGTCCTTTATGAAATAGGTTAAAACCATCCATTTTGCCCTTACTACCATCCATCTCATCCTTTTTTCATAGCATTTAATTTATTCTAATTGAAGGAGACAGTCATTAGGTAAGGATTATTCTGAACCAATTTGTTCTGCCCATTTTTACTAGATCATACTGATGTCAACCAAAGATAATCAAACAGTCACAGAAGAAAAACAAAACACAAAAATAGCTATAGAAAATAAATGGTCATATATAAACAGGTCAGCTTGTCTGAATTAGAAAGGATACTTTGCACCACCCTAGATCCTCTAGGGGCCTAAGTTATAACTTGCTGTAATAAATGACAATGGGGAAAAAGATTTATCAGTAAACATGGAAAACTTTAAGAAAGAGACCTCTCCTTACATGCTCAAGGGAGGAGAGGAGGGATAAGAGTCAAAATAAGGGGGGTGGGAATTGTATGGGGAATATAACCAAGATGAAAATGCATACATTGTGCAAAAAATGAAAAATGATGTAAAAAATATATAAAATAAAATAAAGTAAATACTTAGACTTTGTTCTGGGAAGGGGAGGGGAAAAATGTCACAAACAAGCTGGATGTAAAATAAGAAATTCCCAACTACTCCACACCCATTATGAGCTATTCAACCAAACATGATATAAGGAACATTTAAAGAACACATACCAAAAAAACAAACAAAAATCTATGATATTCCCTGCCATAATGTCATGGTACCTATAATTATCTTTTTCAGTTTATTTAATTACAGAATGAAACATTCAGTTTCAGTTCTTATATCCAAATAAATACCTCTGTGAGGTACTTACCCATAGAATATGAAAACTGTAATATGAAAAGACTTATGTACTCCTTTGTTCATAGCAGCACTGTCCACAATTGCCAAAACATGGACCTGATCTACGTGCCCATCAATAGAAGACTAGATAAAGAAATTGTGTAATATATACTCAGTGGAATATACAGCAATTAAAGGAGATGAAATAGTGCTCTTTGGAACAAAATACATCCATTTTAGCTTGAGGTGATTGTGCTAAGTGAAATTAAGTCAGAAAGTGAATGAGATTCAATGGTCTCATTCGTCTGTGGCCTATAAATGCCAAAAACCCATACTGACAAAGTACAGCAAAAGCAAATCTTAGACTTAGTAAAAAACATACTGGTTACCAGAGGCAACAGTGGGTAATGAGGAGGGGATAAGGAAAGAAAGAAGTTAGGGCATTGGTATGGGAGGTTTAGTGGAGGCTGAGTGATGCATGGAGGAGTGAAAATGTAACCCCAATGTATATAGACATGAAATAACTGAATAATTTAGTAGAAAGTGAATAAAAGAAGAAAAAAAAGAATGAAACATTATGTTGCTTGGAAAAGTTGGCACTTAAATCTATTATTAGTCATTACTATCACAATTGCAGACACCAGACAAGGCACTAGAGGGCGTTTTCAAAGGGAAAGTTCTAGAGATTGATCCCAGAAAGCTCCAACTACAGTGCCAAGGTAGGGAATCTTAGACAGCAGGAAGAATATGGTTGCCAGGATGAAAAACTTCTGTCATGGATTGGCCATGCTCCCATACTAAGGAACTGGAGGAAAATCTATAACTGAGGCTGAATACAAAAAGCAAAAGACATATCCTTGAGACTGAAGAAGCTACTCATAAATCTGATTATTGTGGTAACTAAGGCAGAGAAAGAACAGAAGAGCCTTGTAGTTTCCCCTTACCTCTGCCATTAAATTTCCTAAGATATACAGAGACTGACCCCACATATGAGGTAACTTGCCCATGGGGACTCGGTCCACAGTGTGAGGATTTTGATATTCTTCATCAACCTAAAAGAAAATAAGCCACATAAGGGATAACAGAAAGTTTAAAATACTAGACAACAAGAATGCTGAGTCTGAATTGTAATTCATGCCCTATAAAACAGCCATACAACCCATGGACTGAAAAGTCAAGCACTATGACTATACTCTAGGACAGTGATCCTCCATCTACACACACATACAAATCACTTAAGGATCTTGTCCAAAGGCATATTTAATCTTGTAAGTAGGGAAAAGATCTGAAAGCTGCATTTCTAACAAGCTCTCAGGTGATGCTGCTAAATGATGTTGGGAGCTTATTCCACCCATTCCCACTATGGAAAACTGCATCTCTCCTACAGTTAATGTATTTTACTTTTACAATGGAGAAGAGGAGCAATAGTTTGCTCTTACCCTTGATTCACTGTGCAACAGTGGAATGGAGAGTGCTTAAAAATTTCTTTTCAAAGGAATAAAATAACATTTCTATTATACATAGAGAGAAACTTTTAGAACATTAAAATAAGATTAAAAATTATTTGACTCCTGCGGCCTCCCTGGTGGTGCAAGGGGTTAAGCACAGCACTATGAAGCTATCTGCAGCCTTTGCAGCATGACTTCGATCCCCAGCTGACCAGGGAGCTACGCACATGGCGCAGTAGACCTCTCCTGACTCGCCTGCTGCTTCCCTCAGCAGTGTACTTCAGTCAGTCTGCCTGTTCTGTTCCCCACTCTGTCTCTGATGAATCCTCTCACCACCACACCTCTGGCCTGTACCCCAGTTCTTATATTTATAAATAAATAAATCTTTTTTAAAAATTTAAAAAAATTATTTGACTCCTCTCCTAGTTCCAAGTTGTGGCACTGTCCAAGGCTCACCTTGTCAGGAGGAACACTGTACAGCTCTGGCAGAAGCAGTACTCCATTTTTCCCCTTAATGAGGACTGCTTCAAGAGCCTCTCTATACTCTTGAACCTATAGATAAGAGAGAGAGAGAGAGAGAGAGAGAGAGAGAGAGAGAGAGAGAGAGAGAGAGAGAGACATTTATAGAGAGTTCTTTGCGGGGATCTTGGCAAGAGCTGTAGCTGAAAGTAGTTCCTATCACAAAGGAATGCATTCACTTAAGTAAAAAAGTGAAGGGAAGTAGCATTTACTAAATGTTTATTGTAGACCAAAAAGCATGCTAGGAGTTTTGCATACTTTAAGGAATTTAAATAATGTGAAGTATAAATCCCTGACTCTAAATTGGGCACAAGGGATATTTCTTTGGAGATTGTGCATGGTCTAAGTGGGAAGATCACTAAAAGTTTCCCCAATCAAAAGTAGTGTGTCAATGGCAAGTAAGCTTTGTAAGGCTGCAATCTTAAGTCAGTTTTAACCCTCTTGACAAAGAAACTAAACAATATTTACTTGAAGTTAGCATATATCATGCAACTAAGTGTATGTTTAGTTCCTATTAGAAAACTAAATCTTTGTTAAAATCTTACTTATAGCAACATAGCTCTGGATCCTGGATTGTGAAATCTCCCTGCATAGAGCAAGTTAGTATGTGAATTAGGCAGTCCATTGTCATATTGAAAATCTTTTGTTTTGGTGTATTTTGATCAGTAAAAATGTTTTTAAAAGATTGGTGGTTTAGAGATTGCTGTAAATATTCATGTCAATTTGTTATTCCCCTTTAAACTACAAAAAGGTTAATGACTTTACAACGTCCTTAAATGTAAATACAAATGGCTTCATAATGAATCAAGCAATTATTTTTCTAAACAATTAAATCCTAAATTTTTAAAGTAAATTGATTTATATTTCACGTTGTTTGAGGAGAATATGCTGAAGGAACTAAACTATTATGAGCCCTGTTGACCATCTAAAATATTAGAAGTTCTGAAGTAAATGCAGCTTTATTGCAATCTCTAAACCTCTAGTATTACTGCAATTACCATGATCATATATGCTGCTGATGTACACTGGCTGCATAAAGTGACCCAGAAGTTGTGGCATATATACTCAATGGAATATTACTCAGCCATTAAAAATGATGAAATAGCGTCTTTTAAAACAAAATGAATGGTGCTTGAGGTGATTACACTAACTAAAATAAGTCAGAAAATGAAAGACAGTGGATTGTTTCATTTATCTGAGGAATATAAATAACCATACACACACACACACACACAAGCAAAGCACAGATATATATATATATATATATATATATATATATATACACACACACACACACACACACTCTAGCAAAGCACAGCAAAAACAAATCCTGCACTTAGTTAAAAATATACCTGTTATCAGAGGGAATGGGGCGGAATGTCTCTCTTCATAATGTACTTTTGAAACATATACTGGTTCCAGTGAAACAATAGATTCTACAGGGGTAGGAGGGGGCCCTGATGGTTCCAAAATTCTTGGTTCACACTCTTCCAACTATAGAAGCTCATCAAGAGCTCATTTTGCTATATTAGATCTGGACTCCTTTTTATTTTGTTCCAGTCCAGCCATGTACCAAATACCATCCATCACAGCACACAAAACAAAATATGTTCCAAGCAGTTGTTATGGTTTCCTTAAGGTCAAGATGAACCCACTACATTTGTGAAAAGTAAAATAAGTTTCAGCTGTAGCTGAAAGTAGTTCCTATCACAAAGGAATGCATTCACTGACACTGGATTTCTCTTTCCACCTTTGTATTTCATTATAAATTTTGTAGGCATTTTTTTTGAAAGAAGGACAGGATTTGAAATAGATGAAGGACCTTTGCAAAGCAATGATTCTGGGGCCTACCTGGTGGCCTAGGGGTTGTCTCAGCACTCTCACCACTACAGCCTCAGTTTGATCCCTGACCAGGGATCTAACCCACATATGGGGTAGAAGACCTCTCCCATCTGGCCCACGGCTGCCCTTAGCAGTGTATTTCAGTAGATCTGCCTGTTCTGTTCCCTACTCTGGTAAATCCTCACACCTCTGGCCTACAACCCAGTTCTTCTACACAAAAATTAAAAAATAAATAGTTTTTTATAAAGAAAAAGAAAAGCAATGGTTCTAGAAAAAAGTGGTTTTGCATGACAAGTTTTCAAATGTTATATCCCTGATTCCATTTTCCCATAGTGCCCTACTGATATTTCCAAGGAGAACTTTGAATAAACCCTGTATTTTTTATCTCTCAAATATGCAGAGCATGGTGATTTGGGGGGAACATAGAGGTTTCATTATAGTCACTGAATTGACTGTACCATTCACTTACAAAATGTCTTTATCTGTGAAATTAAAAGAACTGTAGAGTTATCTTCTTCAATAAAAAGAGTAAAACTATTATTACTGTTTGTATAGAGAAACCAAAGAAGTTAACACAATGCTTGGGCAACTCAACGGTCAGCAGTGAAGTGTGAAAAAGAAAAGAAGAATCTAGGTCTTCCAACTCTTAATATAATGCCCTCAGCTACTAGTCTCTAGAAGATAACTGCCTCCTTCCTATCAGAAAGACTTCCATTTGTACACAGGATTGGAACAGCCATTGACTGAAAGAGGAGGATATAACAAAAACATTCTGCTGAAAAGCTGTACCCCAGCACATTACCTGCTCTGCATTGCCACTGAATATCCCATCGAGGATAAAGTATGTCCAGAACAATGGCCATTCACACTCAATGTTTTCAAACAACTTCAGCTCAGCTGGTTCATAGTATAGACGATTGGGATCCTGGTAAAACACAGTAAACAAAGTTTTATTTTATCACTTCAAGATCAGATTTATATCCTTATCCAAAAGCTGTGCTAGTTCAACACAGCCTTTCACTACTGATAGCTTGTTTTAGAGGAGGCAGTCAAGGAAGGTAAAACATGTACATACTCCCTCCCTTTGCAAGCACTTTGTGAAGTGACTCAGTAGAACTGGGGTAATGACATGACAGGCAGGTATATCAAGAAGTGAGATTAATTTGCAATAAAGCTAAGTTTGGTTTTATACTTGTTAAGTTTAAGGTAGTAGCAACACATACAAATAGAAAGCTTAGAAGAAGCACAAGATATGAGGGTTTCAGAATCATCCAGAGGTGACACATGAAGTGCAAGTTACAAATATAGTCCCTTTATTAATCAACAAATGACCCAAAAAGAGAATCTTGGTAAACCCTTATAGTTCAGTGGTGGAACAACAGAGAGAAGAATTAGGATGATACAGTATTGTTGAAATTAGAATTGGAAAAGAAATTCAAGAAAATACAGGAGTTGGTGACAGTGATATACTACAGAGAAATCAAGAACAAGTTTGTGAAAAAGCCATTGTGTTGATCACTGTGACGTTTCAGAGCATAACATTAATAGATCTGTAGGGGTAGCCGTCAAATTCAGAGATGATCAAGTAGAAGGGAGAAAGCCAACCAGAAGAGTTTGAGCTCAATTATTAAAAAAAAAAAAAAAAAACTACAATGGCTTTTGACCAGCAAACCTAAATCTGAAATGATGTTTGCACTGCCAACAAAAGAGCTTCTGATTGTTGATCTCCCTATAACATAACCTCTTCTTCCTTCATTGATATTTCCAAGGAGAACTTTTGACAAATGGAACAAAAGGAAACTAACTCTTTAGGATTAAGTACTGTTTAGAAAGAACTAGCTGCAAAAAGTGAAAGGGGGCCCCGAAAGATCTACTTTTTCCCTTTGCAATTATTAAACATTTCAAGGTGAGATACTTTGATACTATCCAAGTATTATGTTCTACTTAAACTTTAATCCACTGATTTCAGCATCCATCATTAGCTCTCTCCTGAAGCTAACCAAGTGCAAGAGCTAGCACTGCATCTTCCTCTATTTCATTTCACCCAAAAAGGCTCAAAAACAGATCTTGGCAACCAAACCCAATATATGTAGCAAAAATCAAGCACTGTTACCCTATTTAGTGATTATTATAAGTAACAGCAGTGAGGTAAGGATTTTTCTCTGAATGAGACTGCATATAGCAGTGACCATTCTACCTTGGGCTAATTTGGGGAAAAGAAACCTACCTCTTTAGGAGTTTTATATCCATCTCGGAGAAAGCGACAACAACCATAACGACCCTAGGATCATAGAGGAAAACAGTTAGAAGATTGTACACTTGTATGTCCATGTAATTAATCAGAAATATATCCTTTGCAAGAGCTACATAGACCAATCTGTTAACAATACAGACACCAGGGCCTCCCCTGATGGCGCAGGAGGTTGAGCGCCGCGCTGTGAAGCTGTCCATAGCCTCTGCAGCGCTGGTTCGATCCCGGCTGGCTGGCGAGGGTCCCAAATGGTGCGGCAAACCTCTCCTGTCATGCCCGCTGCTCTCCTCAACAGTGTATTCCGTCAGTCTGCCTGTTCTGTTCCCTGTTCTGTCTCTGGTGAATCCTCTCACCCTCCCACGCATCTGGTCTGTACCCCCATTCTTGTATAAATAAATAAATAAATAATTTTTTTTAAAAAGGGGCCTCCCCTGGTGGCACAGCGGTTGAACACTGGGCTGAGAAGCTGCCCGCAGCCTCTGCAGCGCAGGTTCAATCCCCAGCCACTGGTGAGGGTCCCACATGGCGCGCAGACCTCTCCTGCCATGACCACTACTCCCCTCAGCAGTGTATTTCGTCAGTCTGCCTGTTCTGTTCCCCGCTCTGGCTCTGGTGAATTCTCTCACCCTCCCGCACTTCTGACTGTATCCAGTGCTTGTATGAATAAATAAATCTTAAAAAAAAAAACAACCAATACAGACACCATACTTAAAATGCAACAATAAGAAAAATAAAACCTAAAATCAGCCAGCACCAGAAACTGATTTCAGCAATGTGATTTCTAGTGAGGGTAATTACAGGCTCTTTCCTAAAGCAAAGTTCCTAATATCAATCTCTCTATAGCTTTCTACCATAAGGTAAGTAAATTTACGACAATCTGACTATTAAATCTGTGTCATCTTGCTCACACCACTCTTAAGCGACGAGAGATTTTTAAAACAGAAAATATTTTTATAATTAAAGTAATTTGAGACTTTCAGAAGAGCTACAAACACAGTGCAAAGTCCATGTACATCTTTCAATCCAGGTCCCTTTATATTAAATCTTACATAGCTATAGATCATTTATCAAAACTAAAAAAAAAAATTACTTTCATAAGATGCTATTAATCAAAGTACAAAACTTATCTGAATTTCATTAGCTTTTCCACTAATGGCTTTATTCCAGTATTCACTTCAGTATTCCAGTAATCACTTCAGGAACTATTGACATTAATTGTCATGTCTCCTTAGTCTCTTCCAGTCTGTGAAAATCTTCAGTCTTTCTTTTTTTCCCCCCACCTTGACACTTTACAAGTGTCAGATATTTTATAGAATGTCCCTCAATTTGTTATCTTCTGTTTATTTTCTTTTTGTATTTTCTTCAAATTAACTCATTTTTTTAAAATTGAGGTAATATTGACTTACATTATTGTTGGTATTTTGGAAGTATATGACCCCTCCTTCCCTGTGACTGCCACCGTAGTGCATCCACCACCAAATTACCCATACTCCACCAACACAGTACATTGTGCTCCCTTTCCTCTTTTTTCTCACCCTTTCCCCACCCCTCCATGGATGCTTTAGTTCTATAGTTCGTTTCCAAGGGTTAGTTTTTAAGCTTGTCTTCATCTGACCCTTTGTTTGGTTTCTCTATATTCCAAATATAAATGACACCATCCAGTATTTATCTTTCTCCTTCTGACTTACTTCACTCAGCATTATTCCTTCCAGCTCCACCTATGTTGCTGAAAATGGCATGAGTTTATCTTTTTTGATAACTGAGCAATATTCTATGGTGTATATATATCCCATCTTCTTGATTCACTCATCTATTTTGGGGCACTTAGTTTATTTCCATAATTTAGCTATAGCAAAGAGTGCTGCAACAAACATGGGGGTGAAAATTAGTATTTTTTTAAGGTATATGTCATTTTTTTAAAAGATTTATTTATACAAGCACTGGGTACAGTCAGAAGTGCGGGAGGGTGAGAGAATTCACCAGAGTCAGAGAAGGGAACAGAGCAGGCAGACTGACGAAGTACACTGCTGAGGGGAGCAGCGGGGTGGCAGGAGAGGTCTGTGCACCATGTGGGACCCTCGCCTGGTGACCGGGGATTGAACTGGCGCTCTAGAGGCTGTGGGCAGCTCCGCAACACAGTGCTCAACCGCTGCGCCACCGGCGAGGCCTGAAAATTAGTATTTTTTAATTTGGGGGGTAGATACCTAATGGTGGAATTACTGGGTTATATGGCAGATCCATTTTTAATCTTTAGAGATACCTCCAAACTGCTTTCCATAGGGGCTGAACCAGTCTGCATCCCCACCAGCAGTGTAGGAGGGTTCCCTTTTCTCCACATCCTTGGCAGCATTTGTTTCTGGTCTTCCTAATATGGGCCATTCTCACTAGTGTGAGGTGTTATCTCATCGTGGTCTTTATTTGCATTTCTCTGGTAATAAGTGATGATGAACATTTTTTTCATGTGCCTGTTTGCTGTCCTTATGTCTTCATTGAAGAAGTGCCTGTTTAGCGCTTCTGACCATTTTTTTACATAATTTGGTTTGGTCTGACTTTTTCTCATGATTAGATTGAGGTTAAGCATTATTGGGGAGGTGCCATGACCTTCTTAGTGCACCACATCAGGGGATACAAGATGTCAGTATGTCTTATTACTAGTGATGTTAACCCTGATCAATCGGCTAAATCACTGACATGGGCCATACCAAAGTCCCAAAAGACAAGTTTCCCCTTAACAAAACAGCCCTAAAGAAAAGGTACATCTACACATACCTGAAGCTTGGTGATGATTTCCTGTTTCGTGAGCTCCACCAACTGGCTATCCTCTACTGCGAAGGCTGGGAAGGAAATAACTGAAAGTAGGCTAGCATCAACCTCTTTGGATGTTGAAGCCCGGGGGAGTATTGAATTAAGGATAGACTAAAAGAAAGGAAGTCAAATGTGGCACATTAGTAAATAACTTGGGGTTATAAAACTAACAACTTTAATTTCAAAAGATTTATGTGGAAGATGATCATTCATAGGAAAATCTAAATATTATTCAATAGTGAGAGCTTAGAAAACTAGCTATTTCTGTGAATCATCCCTCATCTTAATCTGGCTCTCAAGGTTTCCCCATCCTGACCCTTGAAAAGCTGCTAAGGAGATGAAGAATTGTCTAACATTATCCCACCATAATCCTGCTGCTCCATTCGAAATTATTTAAGTTAAAAGAAAATGTAGCTGCTGAGAAACAAGATGTGCTCTATCCCCAACATTTATCATTTCCATGGAAAGTTTTGCATTTTCTAATTTAAAAAGTAAGTTTATATTCAGGACACTATGGGCATCTAATCAGTGTTTAGAGAACAGGAGAAAAGCCAATTAGAAAAAACCTAATTTTTTTAATATAGAATAACACCAAACAAAACTGAAGATAAATATTTACCACTTAATTATTCTAAAATACAAACATCTAACCATAGAGACACTTGGGGACAGGAGAATGTTTTAGAACCACTTTTTCTCTTGGTATATTTAGAAAAGAAAATACTCCAGAGCAGAGTCCGTAGGCAACAGTGGAGAATCCATATACTAATATGGGATCCCTTTGTAACCCTGGGTGACAGAACAGGACTATGATCTATATTCTAGTCCATACTATATTAAGTTTATGCCCATAAAGTATGCTTAATGAGACATTTTGGCAAATGAAGCAACCTGCAGCCTCTGCAGCACAAGTTCGATCCCTGGCCAGCCAGGGAGAAACCCACATGGTGAAGCAGACCTCTGTACTTTTACAGACCATGTACATCAGACCATGTTATACATCAGACCATGTACTTTTATTTAGGAAGCCAATGTTAAGTCTGAGTGAGGGTAAGAGTAAAACTTTCTATAATGTGGTCCATTATTCTCTTACCTGGCAGTGCTGTACTTCATCTGACAGGACATGGATAACTGATTGAGGCCCACCTTTCACACCAAACAGGTCCAGTTCATCTAATGCTTCTAGAGCTGCCTATGGTGGATAAGGACAAAAAGGACAACTTCAGCATTAGATATACATTTTTTCCTCCCTATACCCCAGTATCTTCTTTAAAATTAATTATTTTTAACTGAGGCAATATTGGGTTACCACATCAGGTGATTACCACTGCAGTGAACCCACCACCAACTCACCCATATTCTACCACCACAGACCACTGTGCTACCTTCCTTCCCTTGGTGCTTCAGTTCTGTAGTCAGGAATGCAGGGTTAGTTTTTCAGCTTGTCTTTTTCTGACTATTAATTTACTACTTTATACTGTACAATTAGTGACATCACCTTGTATTTATCTTTCTCCTTCTGACTTATTTCACTTAGCATTATCCCTTCTAGCTCCATCCTTGTTTCTCCATATGGTATGAGTTTATTTTTTTGACTGCTGACTAGTATTCCACCGTCTACAGATACCACATCTTGATCCACCGATATGTTCTGGGGCACTAAGGTTGTTTCTGTAGCCCTGCAATATATAGTAAATAGAGCTGCAATAAACATGGGAGTGCAAGTTTCCTTTCAAATTAGTGTTTTTGAATTTTTTGGATAGATGCTTAGGAGTGGAGTTTCTGATATTCTTTTTTTTTTAAGATTTCTTCATGCATACAAGAGCTGGGCTACAGGCCAGAGATGCAGGGGATTGGGGGGAGAGGATTCACCAGAGACAGAGTGAGGAACAGAATAAGCAAACTGACTGAAATACACTGCTGAGGGGAGCAGAGGGCAAGACAGGAGAGGTCTGCTTCACCATGTGACTTTCTCCCTGGCCAGCCAGGGATCGAACTCCAGCTGCAGAGGCTGTGGATTGCTTCATAGTGCGGTGCTTAACCCCTTGCACCACCAGGGAGACCCGAGTTTCTGATATTCTTAAACTTGACCCTGAACAATGAGCATATATTCATATAGGTCACCATCACACATAATTGGCATAATAACTATAGTTATGTCAATAATACCTGTCACTTAAATTTTATGTGACTAATATCTGCTTTCATTCTACAAGAAACTTTAAGTGAAAAATACCCTTATGCGATTTTTTTAGATTAATGTTTCCCTCAGTTTGAGAGGTTTTATGCCATTATTTCTCCAAATAATTTATTTCTTTTCACTCTTCCTCTGGAACTCACATACATGTATGTATGCTTATTGATTAAATAGTGTCTCCAAGGTCACTGAGTCTCTGTCCTTTTTTTCTTATTTTCTCTCTATTCATCATATTGTACAATCTCAATTTACCTATCTTAAGTAGACTCATTCTTTCTTCTACTTATTCAGATTTATTATTGAGCCCTTTACTCAATTTTTCACTTCATTCAGTATACTTCTCAACTCCAGGATTTCCCTCCTTTCTTCTTTATCTACCCCCTGCCTCCCTCTTCTCCTCCCGCCTTCTTGCCTTCCTTTCTTCCTTTTTTTTTTAAAGTGAGGCAACATTGGTTTACAATGCTGCATATGATTTAGATGTATAGTATCGCACCCTTCAGGTGTATGTTACCACACCACACCCACCACCAATTCACCCACAGTCCTTCCCCACAGTCCACTGAGCACCCTCCCCACTTTGTTCTCTTCCTCCCCTTCTAGTAGCATCAGTTCTACAGTCAGATTTCTAGAGTTTATAATTGGTTTGGCTTTATCTGACTCTTTGTTTTGTATTTCTACATGCTACATATACATATACAACTACCATCAGGTATTTGTCTTTCTCCTTCTGACTTATGTCACTTAGTAATCACATTCATGTTGCCATAAGTGGAAAGAGTTTATCTTTTTTGATAGCTGAGGAATATTTCCACATTTTCTGAATCCACTCATCTGTCTTTGGGTATCTATGTTGTTTCCATAACTTGGCTATTGTAAAAAGTGCTGCAATGTACACAGGAGTGTAGCTATCCCTTTGAATAAGTGATTTTGCATTCTGTGGGTCAACACTTAGGAGTGGAACTGCTGGATCATATGGTAGATTCATATCCAACAGCAAGAAAAACAAAAGAGAATATAAACAATTGGGACTACATAAAACTGAAAAGCTTCTGCATACTGAAAGAAACTTAAAATGAAAAGACACTATACTGAATGGAAGGAAATATTTGCCTACCATATATGTGACAAAGGGTTGATATCCAAGATCTACAAGGAACTCACACAAATCAACAAAAACAAAATAAATAACCCAATTTAAAAAAAAGGGGCAGAAAATCTAACTAGACTCTTCTACAAAGAAGACATACAGATGGCAAATAGGCACATGAAAAATTACTCATCATCACATATCACCAGGGAAATGAAAATCAAAACCACAGTGAGATTCCACTTAACACCAGTGAGAACGATTCATATCAAAAAGACCAGAAAGAGCAAGAGCTGGCAAGGGTGTAGAAAAAAAGGAATGTAGACTTGTACAGTCCCTCTGGAAAATAGTATGGAGGTTTCTCAGAATATTACAAATGGATCCTTTTTTCTTTTTAAAAATCAATTTGTGTCCTTGCCTTTCGGTGGGAGAGGCTTAAATTAAGTCACTAACATTTATCATTGCAATGATATGTTTGATACTATTCCTGCTATCTTCATGCCTTCCTTTTTCCCCCAGAAAAGACAAAAGCTGAAATTAAGGCAGTAGCAGTGGGAAGGAAAAGATGGACCAAGCAGAAAGCAAATAATGATGACGATGATACGATGATAATGATACCGGGAATGAAGGAGAGTTGGGGGTGGGCAGAGAATTGAGATATGGTTCCCTCATATCAAGCTTTGTCAACTAGATTACAGGGAGTAAGTTCTTTCTTTTGATGTTTTTTTTTTTTTGTAATTGTAGGAATGATGAGTTTAGTTTAAGATGTTATTTGAGGTTCTTATAGAATACATAGAGGTGTTACAAAAGCAGCTGGATAGTCACATCTGGAGCTTATAGAAGAATTTTTCACATATATATCCATGTTATATTGGAGAAACTGAATTTTGCCTGTGGTTTATAAGAACAATGAATTTGATAATGGTGCATGTTAAGTCTCTATCTACAACAAAGATATGCCAGAATTCTTATCCCGTACCTGGTACAAATAAGGAAAAAATTACCTTTGCCATTCCGACTGAACTGGCATTCAATTCTGAGATCCCTTGGTTGGTCTTGTCTCCACGCTCCCAGATCCCAAAGTCCTAGCACAAAATAACCAACCTACTATTAGCAATTCACTAGTAAAAAATGCTAACTAGATGCAGAACTCTGGAATAAAAGGCACACATAGTAGCTAATGTGCCACATATGTAAATAGGTACTCACAATGCTTATTAAGGGAGATGCCAATGAGGGGGATATAGCCCCTGTAGGTTCAGCAGTTTTAAATTCTATTGGGGACTCAAGAAATTGGAAGACTCCTTGACAGGTGATCAGGACTAAGCACTAACTCAGTCCCCCTAGAGAAGTGCTGCTCAAAAGTTTTCATCAAAGCAGACACTCAGGGATACTGCAAACTGGAGCCTAAATATAGGCACTTCAGTATTTTATCTTAAACTAATTTTACTCTCTAATGACACCGACAATGTACCATGCATTAACATCTGTACTTTTTACACTATTATCTGCCGTAATCCTTACATTTTACAGATGATGAAACTGAGGTCACATAGCTAATGACAGAGCTAAGATTAGAGTCCAATTACTTTTTACTGCAAAGCCTACACTCTTAACCATAGCTCTGTATAGTCCCTTGATAATATAAAGACAACACATAAATTACTTTTAATCTTGAAATAAATTTAGACTTGCAAAGAAGTTACAAAAATAGTACAAAGTCCCTGTACACCTTTTAATCAACTTCCCCTAAGGTTACCATCTGACAATAACTATAGTATAGTGGTCAGAGCTAAGAAATTAGTATCAGTAGACCTCTAATACCCAAACTGTGGATTTTATTATTATTTCAGTTTTTCTATTAATTGCTTTTTTATATATTCTAGACCGGATCCAAAGTACCACACTCTATTTGTCATGCCTCCATATCGCTCCCGGTTATTCAAGTCTTATCTTTTATGACCTTAACACTTTTTGAAGATTAGAGGTCAAATAGTCTATAGATTTTCCCTCATTTTAGGTTTGCTTGTCTTTTGATTCAGTCGAAGCTATGTATTTTTGACAAGAATACTACAGATATTATGCTGTGTCCTCACTATATCAGGGGATACCTGATGTTAGTATGTCTTTTTTTTTAATTTTATAAAAAGCAAAATAAAACATAAGTCAATCATTTTAAATGCCTAATTCATTTAAGCCAAAATATAGACCATGCAGAACCTTACAGAAAATGGCAGTATATTTTCTGAATGCTTTGCTCTAGAATCCTGAAAATTTTAATTGGTATTTTCATTCAAATTCTAGTCATTTTTTTCCTTATTAATCACATTATCCTGAACCATATTTCTGATGTTATCCTTCATCACTTAGTTAAGGCAGTATCTGCAGGATTTCTCCATTCTACTATTACTATTTTCACTCATAATTATTAAATATTTTGAGGGAGATACTTAATTACTATGCAAATACGTTTCTCTTTAAACATCCACCCAGTAATTTAGCATCCATTAGTGGAGCATGCCTGATAATCGTGACAGGGTTATTTCAATGGTGATTTTCTAGTTCTTTCACTATCTCTAGTCTTTAACTATAACTCTTCTCTAAGGAAAAGCTACCCCTTCACATTCATTCATTCGTAACCAGTATAAACTTGACATTAAAATTATTCCCTGGGTTATAAGAAAATGCTCATTATTTATTTTGTTTGTTCAAATTGCTCCAGTTTTAACTATTGGGAGTTCTTACAGGTTGGCTCCTGTGCCTTTCTGCCATGCTCCTCTCTTTTTTGAGCACTTCTTCAATTTTGGGCACTACAAGATGCTACAGTCTCATCTTGTATATTCCCTGCCCTGCCCTACAATCAACCACATCTATAAGGAACCCTGGTTTCTTTAATTAAAGAATGATATTTAGACTCCAAAACTTGGGCAGTGGTGCTCATTGTCACTGTAGTGCTATTGCTTCTAGGCCCTCTCACTGACTAGAACTTGGAAATATAGAAATACACACATGTGCACATGCATGCATGCACGGATGCACTTTTATGCATATGTACACACACTGGCCCACCCACCTACCTATATTTATTACTGTATCTACCTTAAATTACTTCCCATGTAAAATATTTGAGTTAAAGCAAAACTTTAGGAAGATAAGCCATGTTGATTGCATGCTAGCCCCACCTGCTCCCAAACCTTGCATAAATCCTGGTTTGTGCAGCAAAGACTAGCATATGAGAAAGTACAAATAGCATTAATTCTACTGCTTGCAACCCTTGGCTGAAAGGGAGAGATCAGAGAACCCTGAATTGTATCCTGGGCTCAGCAGACTAATAGTACCAGAAGGTAAAGCAATCAGCAACAACAACAAAAAAAAGTCTTTTTAAATCAAATATGTCTATGTTAGACCTATTCTTCTGAAAAATACAGAGAAACAGGTTCCAGATTTACCCTTCTATGTAAAACAACTTAAAAAAACCTGTAGGATTTATTACCGCCATTTTCAGTTCAATGATCACCATACAATAAAAGACAGTATCTCTGACAGGGAAGATGCTAAATATTTGATTTACTATAAATCTACCTCATATGGTAATTGTAAAAAAAAAAAACTCTATTTGTTAAAAGTAACTATAGCAAGTACTGATCAATGTCTATAGATAAAATTAAACACAGAAATAAATTTTGTTTCTAAATAGTTAACTGGCCCATAATACTCCCTAGCCATCTTGTTCCCACTTAAGACAATAAACCATTAAAATATCACCACAGTTTAGTCCCAAGTTGCCAAATACATAATCATGAAATATTAAAAAGTTTGAAAGAAATTAAAACATAGCATCTTGATTCTATTGCTTCTTTAACTCCATGGGGGGAGCCAGAGAATGACAGAACTTAGTAAAGAAAGAGGCTGAAGGAAATTTCTGCCAGAAGCCTTATAGACTGGTGCACTATGAGGGGCAGCATTAAGAGAAGGAAAGTTTGCCCAGTATTTCAAAAACACTGCATGTCTGACCAAAACGAGTACTTACAGCAGTTTTATATGCAGATTCAATGTAAAACACAAGGTTCTGTATGAAAGTGACTTCATCTAGACTGTGGATGATATGAAGTCCTGAGGAAAGAGAGAATAAAGATATACAGTAATCACTAAGGGCTTTATAGACAGAGTGACTAGCTAACCCCACTACTCCCAAGTTATCTTATCCTGCTTAGGAATGATGAAAGGCACTTTGATTCTTAAACCATAAAATCAAGACCACAAATCAGTCCTAGTCTAGACTTCAACTAAGTGAGATAACCCACATATTTTTTTAGCAAGTAAATAAAATTCCAATTTGACTATTTTTTCTTTAGTTACTTAGATTTTTGGTGTGATCTAACAGGGCTTTGTCTAATCTGAGGTCAGGAAGAATCAGTCTTATATTTTCCTCTTAAGTATTCTGAACTCAAATATGTCTCTCCAAAATTCATACATTGAAGCCCCAAGTCCCCAGTGTGATTTTATTTGGAGAGAGGGCCAATAAGGAAGAAATTAAATATAAATGAGATGATGAAGATGGGGCCCTACAATGATAGGACTAGTGTGCTTATAAGAGATACCAGGAGTATACATATCGAGAAGAGGCCATGTGAGGACACAGCAGAGAAGGTGGCTGTCTATAAGCCCCCAAAAAAGCTCTTACCAGAAACTAGCCCTGCCAACACCTTGATCATGGACTACCAACCTCCAGAAGTGTGAGAAAATAAATTTCTGCTGTGTAAGCCACTCATTCTATATTCTGTTTTGGCAACCCTAGCAGATTAATACAGAATCTCTTCTTTAGTTTTCCCTTTTACACCTAGGTCCAAGATTAATTTTGAGTTAATTTTTCTTCATAGTGTGAGGAAGCAATCTAATTTCATTCTTTAGCATGTGAATATCCAGTTTTCCCAGAACCATGTATTGAGAAGACTATTCATTTCCCCCAATGAATTATCTTGGTGCCCAAGTCAAAAATCAATTGACCATAATTTGATGGTTTATTTTTGGACTCTGAATTCTATTCTGCTGCTCCATATGTCTATTCTTATGCCAGCAGCACACAGTCTTCATTAATGCAGATTTGAAGTGAGTTTCTAAATCAGGAAGTGTAAGCCCTCCAATTTTGTTCTTACTCAAAATTATTTTGGTTATTCTGGGTCCTTTGGAGGTCCAGTCACATTTTAGGATCACCTTTCAATTATGCAAAGACATCTGGAATTTTGATAGGAAATGCATTTTATCTATAAACCAATTTGGGAAATGTTGTCATCTTAAGTATTTCAATCCATGAATATAGGATGTCTTTTTATTTACTTCTTTAATTTTTCGAGTTTTATAACTTTATAGGATTTAGTAGTTTGTGTCTTTCTAGGGATTTCTCTATTTCATTGAAGTTATCTAATTTGTTTTATATTACTTTTGTTAAATTTATTCTTCAGTATTTCATTTTTTATGCTATTGTCAAGTGAATTATTTTCTTAATTTCATCTTTGGAGTATTCATTTCTAATGTATAAATATATGATTGATTTGTGCATATTTTCCTTTATCCAGTTACCTTCCTGAGTTTGGTTTAGCTTTTAAGTGAACTCCTTGGGATTTCTATATATAAGACCTTATCATCTACAAATGGAGGGGTAAACTTCTTCCTTTATCTGATATTTTAAATTTATGTTTATTGCCTATTTGCTCTAGCTAAAACTTCCAGTACAATTTTAAATACAACTGGTGAGAGTTAATATCCTTGTCTAGTTCTGATCTTAGGGAGAAAACATTTATTTTTTTCACCATTAAATGTGATGCGAGCTATGCATTTTATAGATGCTCTTTATCAGATTGACTAAGTTCTATTTCCTATTTGTTCAGCATTTTTATCATGAAAAGGCATTGGATTTGTCCAATGCTTTCTCAGTGTCTAGTGAGATGACTGGATCTGTCTTTTATTCCACTGACATCATGTATTGTAATTGATTTTCTAATGTTAAATCAACTTTGGATTCTTGGGGTATTACTTTGTCATGATGTTAAAATCTTTTTTATATATTGTTGGAATTTGTTAGTATTTTGTTGAAGATTTTATAATACATATTCATAAGAGGTAGCTAGTGGTCTGTAGCTTCCTAATGATGTAACTTTGTCTGGTTTTAGTACAATGTCTTTACGTTACTTCCTCTTCTGCTTTTTTGGAGGTATTTGTGAAAAAATGGTCTTAGTTCTTTAAATTTTTGGTAGAATTTATCAGTGAAGCTATCTTGGCTTGGGTTTTTCTTTGTGAGAATTTTACATTACTCTTTTATCTTTATATTATCTTTAATTATGATAGTTCTATTCAAATTTCCTGGACTGCTTAAGATTCAGTAGTTTGTATCTTTCTAGGAATTTGTTTATCAAAGTTATCTAGTTTGTTGTTAAAGTTGTTTACAGTATTAATTATTTTTATTTCTGTGAAGTTCTACCTGATGTCCCCTCTTTTATTCCTGATTTTTGTAATTTGAGTCCTCCCTTTTGCTCTTGGTCAGTCTAACCAAAGGTTTGTTGACTTCGTCGATCTTTTTAAGGCATAAACTTTTGGGCTTGTGGGTATCCTCTATTGTTTCTCTCTATTTCATTAATCTCTGTTGCAATGTTTACTATTTCATTCTTTCAGCACACTTTGACTTTAATTTCCTCTTCTTTTTCCCATGTCTTAAGGTGCAAGGTTAAATTATAGATCTTAGGTCGTTCTTTTCTAAATATAGGTATTTAAAGCTATAAACTCTCTCGCTAATCACTGTATCTCCTGCCTCCCTGAGTTTTGGTATAATGTATATTCCTTTCCCTTCAGTTCAAAGTTTTTCTAATTTCTTTTGTGATGTGTTGTTTAATTTCCACAGTTTTAAGTTTCCCAATTTTTTTGTTACTGATTTCAAATAACATTCTATTTTCAACACAGAAGATGGCTTTGTGATTTTAATCCTTTTAAATGTATTGAGACTTATTTTATGTCCTACAATACAGTGTATATTAGAAAATACCTCATATATATTTGGGAAGAACGTCTATCCTGTTGTTGGATGAAGCATTCTATAGAGGTGTCTAGTTGGTTTAAGCTTTCTATTTGCTTGCTGATCTTCTGCCTACTTCTATGCATTACTGAAATTAGGGTATTGAAGTCTCTGACTATTGTTAAATTGTCGAATTCTACCATCAATTCTGCCTGCTTTTCCTTAGTGTATTCGTTATGTATTTAATTGTTATACCTTCCTGATGAACTGAACCTTAAATTATTCTAAAATGCCACTCTTCGATATTAGTAAGTTTTTATTTTAAGGTCTATTTTTAGTGAGATGGTTTAACTAATCTAGCTTTCTTATGGTTGCTGTGAAAATATCTTTTTAATCCTTTTTATGTATATATGTTACCAACTCAACAATCCAATTATTGCTTTACACAACTTTGTCTTTTAAAGAAGTTGAGCGAAGAGAAATTATAAATTTATATTTCTTATATTAACCTTCTAAAATAACCTTTTCTGGTTCTCTCCATTTGTTTCTGTGGATTGAGTTACCATCTGGCATCATTTGCTTAATTCAACATAGCTTGCTTCAAACCACCTCCTTAGTTCTGTTATTATTAAATATATTATATTTTTACATACTATAAATACAATACAATTTTTGTTTTATACAATTGATTTTTATATCAGTTAAGATAAAAAAGAATAGGCAACTATATTGTATTTTACAGTTAATTTTACCAGTGGCCTGTTTTTGTGTGTGTGGATTCAAATCACAATCCAGGGTCACCTGATTACAGTTCAAAGAACTTTTAATAATTCTCATTAGGTAGGCCTAAAAGCAACAGATTCTCTGTTTTATATTTATCTGGGGATATGTTTATTTTACTTCATTTTTTTGAAACATAGTTTTGCTGTATATAAGATTCTTGGTTAACAGCTATTCTTTTTCAGCCCTTTCTATACATCATTCCACTACCTGCTGGCCTCCCTTTTTTTCTGAAGAGAAATTAGCTGATAATATTATTAGGGTTCCCTTATATGTGACAAATCATTTTTGTCACATTGCTGAAGATGTTCTGTTTGTTTGGGGCTTTTAACATTTTTACTGTAATGTATTTGGATGTTGATCTGTTTACCCACACCCAGAAATCATGGGAGATCACTGAGCTTCTGAGATATGTAGATTAATATTTCTCATCACATATGTTTTCAGCCATTATTTCTTTAAAAGAAAATATTCTCTACTCCTTACTATCCTTTAGGTACTCTCACTATTCATGAGTTGCTGCTCTAAATGGTATCCTATATTTCTCTCTGATTCTATTCATTTTTGTTATTTTTCTTCTCTCTGTTCTTCAGACTACATAATCTCTACTGATTTATCTTCAAGTGTGCTGATTCTTCTTGTCAGCTCAAATCTATTGAGACTCTAGTGAATTTCCCATTTTAGTTACTATACTTTTCAGCTTCAGAATTTCCATTAGGCTCATTTTTATATCTTTATTCATACTCATAAAAACATGAAATACTTTTATCATATATTTCTTCTTTAAACATGATGGTCTTTAGATTTTTTTGGTATTTTATAGTAACTGTTTTGAAATGTTTGTTTCTAAATTCAACAAATGCTTCCTGTCAATGGCAGTTTTTGTTACCTGCCTTTTTTGTGTGTGTTGGCTCAGATTTTCCTGTTTATTTGCATGTCTCGTAAATTTTTGTTGGAAACTGGTTATTTTAGATAATATGCTGTAGGAACTTTATAGATACTGATAGCGTCCTCTCTGGGACTTGTTTTTGATTACTTGTTTAAGGACGTGGCTGTACTATTTCAGTGAAATCTATTTTCCCCACAGTATACAACCTCTGACTTGGTTCCTCAGAGGCTATAGCCTTGGTCATGCACACTGTCACTCCAGGAAGTCAGTGGTTTTCGTTTTAGGCACTGTCTCTTTCCATCATCTATTAAGTATTTGCCTCTGTTTGTATCATACCCAGCTCTTAATCTCCACTAATTGCCAGCTGATTGCTCTATGATTTTATACAATGCATTAACTGTTCCACAGTCTCATTGAATTAAATTCAAGTCCCATTTCAGGTTGTGTTTGAGGATAATCTTTGACACTTTTGCTAACTCGAGGGAGTGTCTTTTTAGCTCTCTCTTTCCTTGGTTCTGTTAACATTCCTGGTTAGTCTATGGTTTAGATTGTTTTTATTGAGCTTCAGCCTTCTCTTAATTGCTTAGAGCAAAAAATGAGCATTGTTTTTGAGAGTGCAGTATCCTCAGGGTTGCACTTTCCCATACTCTGTTCCAATTAAAGTCAGTACTTTTGGGAAGACTTATGGAGCTTTCTGATCTTATGACCTGCCTCTGACCTAAGCAAACATTTCTGTGTGAATGCTCCAGGGTGAGTTGTGGTCACTTCTCCAGCACTGAGACCCCCTGCTTTACAAACAGGATGCTGGGTAGAATAGTAGCTTCAGTCTTCTCACCCTGCCTCTCCCAATGTGAAACCTCATAATACTAGCAATGTGGGCCAGGTGCAATCGGGCCCTACAATTCTTGACCTGCTCTGCCTGGCATTAAACTTCCATGCCAAAAGTAAAACTGGAGGGTAGGAAGGGAGTTCCAGACCTCTTAGCTATTCCTATCTAAACAAGAACTTCTGCAATTCAGAGCTGTAGAGGATGAGAAATGCTGGCAACCTGCCTATCTCAGGGAGATATTATAGTCCTAGAATAGACGCTAGGGAGAAGAGGGAGTCTTGTATTCTTGGCTGTACCCACGTCAAATGGCGCATCTGTCATGTTGAGCTTGGGGCAAGGAAATAGGTTATGGCCCAAACACCACACTCACACTTGTTTTTAACCAAGATTTAAATTTCCTGGAATAAATGTTTTTCCACTTGCTACATGCCCTTAAGAACAATTTTTGGTGACTGTAAGTGGTTGGTCTTATATTTTTATTGTTAATAGTTAATTGATCACTTACTATGAGACTCACACCATCCAAAATGTTTTTTCAGATATTTTCTTTTTTTAATTTTTATTTTTATTAATGACATATCATTATTTTATACCCTTGTTTTTTTTTTTTTTAAAGATTTATTTATTTATTTATTTATACAAGCACTGGGTACAGTCAGAAGCGCGGGAGGGTGAGAGAATTCACCAGAGCCAGAGCGGGGAGCGGAGCAGGCAGAAGGACGGAAGTACACTGCTGAGGGGAGCAGCGGGCGGCAGGAGAGGTCTGCGCGCCATGTGGGACCCTCCTCCGGTGGCTGGAGAGCAGCCAGGGATCGAACCGGCGCTGCAGAGGCTGCAGGGAGCCTCGCAACCCAGCGCTCAACCGCTGCACCACCGGGGAGGCCCCCCCTTGTTTGTTTTTTCACAATATGGGATTTCTCTCTTCAAGTGTGGTCACTACAGTTTTCCCACCACCAAAGCACCCATAGTCCTCAACCATAGTCCATTGTGATCTCCTCAGTCTTTTAAATCGATTTTTACCATATATGATTATTTTTTTAAAAAGGTTCATTTTATTTATGTATGTATACTAGAACTGGGATATAGGCCAAAGGCATGGGGTGGGGAGGGCAGGGGGATCAAGAGATTCACCAGAGACAGAGTGGGGAACAGAACAGGCAAATCAACTGAAATACACTGATGAGGGGAGCAGAGGGCAAGACAGGAGAGGTCTGCTGTGCCATATGGGTCAGCCTCCTGTTTGTTGGGAAAGGATACATGGAGCTCGCCATGCTAACATACCATAATTTACAGTCAGCTTTTGTCTAAAGCCTCCCTTTTAACCAAAGTTGAGATATTTAAGATTTCAAAAATGTGGAGAGAATTGCTAAATTTTCCATGAAGATTATCTCTCACATCTATCCTTTTCATCCTTAAGGCAAGTGCCTTACATAAGCTCAACATCATTTCTTACCTAAAGTATTTCAGTAACCTATCTAGTCTTCCATTTTAATTTCCGCCCCCCAATCTATCCTCCTGCTACTAGAATGAATCATCTGAAACTTTCTTGATTATCTACCTTGAGTGGCTGTCTGCTAACTACATACTTAACTCCAAACTATTTAGTAAGGTACATGAGTCCTTAACAGCTAGTCCTAACTTTCTAGCTTCATCTTTTTCTGTTTTTCCAGATTTATCTTACCCTCTAACCATAGAAGTTTAGTCTTACCTTGGTGACCAATGCCTTTAAAAATTCTGTATAGTAGTCATGCTATTCCCTTATCTTTTCTGACTTGTGAATTTCTACGTATTCTTCAAAGTCCTGATCAAATAATATCTAACTTGTTCCAAGTACCTATCAGAGTGAGCTCATTGGGGTGAAAATCAAATGTTAAGTCAGGACTCAACAAACATTTCTTGAATAAGCAAACGTCTCTCAAAAACATCCTCTGTGTATTTCTGCTTCCTTTCTGAGCTCAAAATGAAAAACTATAAGAGAGATTTAAATATTGTTTGCCTTGTAGAAAAACTCCAGGTTTGGCATTAAAGGAATATTAGAAATGGAGTTATAACTGTCATTCTTTTTAAATAAATAAAACCAAAACATACACCATTCACAGAGGAAGTAAGTGGTTAGCTAGTTTATAATTTCAAGAAAAGGTTATTCAGTTTCCAGGCTATGTGCTCTAGGAGAGGGAAAAGGCTTTATTATCAGGTATTTATTTATGCAAGAAAAGAGGAAGAATATTCTGGGGGAATTCCCATCCTGAATATCCTTAGTACCAAAGAATACTATAACGAGATAGGAAGATAAAGAAATTGAAATCTAAAAAATGTGATATTATGAGAAGTACATTTATTTACTCAGGATGAGCTAGCAAAGGTCCTGTTTAGTTTCCAAACTGAGTATAACTGGATTTATAGTTCGCCCCAATTTAGGAGAAATAAAGGGAAATTATGCTATTTCTTACACTTCCCTTTTTCAGGTAAAGTACCTAAAGGTAATAAAATCATCTGAAAAGGCTTATTATTCAATAATTTAAAAAAAGAGATTTGAATTCTGATTCCTAAATTCTCTTAATAAAATTTAGATGCTTTCTTATAATATATTCTTATAATGCTATTCTTATATAATAGAGCAGTATAAAGTAGGTAATTCAATTTATGTTGGTATTAACCACAATTTTTCAGTGCACAGTATAATAACAAGCAATAATCCCTAGTTCTTCTTTCCAATCTCATGGTAACTGAGGATTAATAAAAGAAAAATACCTGTCTAGAGAAAATCTACAACAGATTTCCTGGTTCTTAGCTTTTAAATATATTATTCAGTACCCCAGACTTGTCTCTCAATGTAAAAGAATATTAACTAGGCCTCAAAGATACAAAATGAAATTTGCAAAATATTATGTTTCCAATAGGCATCTTTGAGCAATGTAAACAGGTATGTTGTTTTCGGTTTTCTAAAAACCTTAGAGAAGTCACATGTGCCAGAACAAGTGCTTCACGCGGCAGAGGCGCTGGTATTTCTGTCCTTGTACTAACCTGAAGCAGTCATTTGTGCTAAGAAGAGCAGGTACACAGAGGTAGCATCCAACTGCAAGTGTCCCCACTGGTCATCACCCACCACAGTAGCACAAGTTTTGGTGTTATACTTGGCATGGAGGCTATCCTTGGTACTCTGACTATACTTGAAGGATTCTACTTTATCCACCTGAAACAAAAACAGTAAAAGAAGTATATGCATAAAAATCAACCCACTCACCATACTTCCATACTGACACATATTGTTGCATTAGGTCATCAGGCAATTGTCAATGTTCAAAATGCACTGCTACCTCTTTTTTCCTACACTAATACAACTACACAGTATGTTGCTGCTGTTTTTATTTTTTTTTAATAGAGGCATGTTTTATTTATTTATTTGTTTGTTTGTTTGTTTTGTTTATACATGCACTGGGTACAGTCAGAAGCGCGGGAGGGTGAGAGAATTCACCAAAGCCAGAGCGGGGAGCAGAGCAGGCAGAAGGACCGAAGTACACTGCTGAGGGGAGCAGCGGGCGGCAGGAGAGGTCTGCGCGCCATGTGGGACCTCCTCCAATGGCCGGGGAGCAGCCGGGGATCGAACCGGCACCGCAGAGGCCGCGGGCAGCTTCGCAACCCAGCGCTCAACCACTGCGCCACTGGGGAGGCCCTGCTGCTGTTTTTAATTTAAGTAATGTAATTGGAAAATAATACCAGTCAAAACCAGCTTTTCCCACCCCTCCCCGCATGCATTGTGCAAAAATGAAAAATGATATAAAAATATACAAAATTTAAAAAATAATTAAAAAATAAAAAAATTAATTCATTGGAGTTAATAAGCTAAGTAAATTCTTGACAAAAATTTAAAAAAAAACAGCTTTTCCTACTCATTACCTCTCTTTCATTTTTTACATATTTGTTTTGCCACCCGTGATTGAGTCAGAACAACTTTGTAAAAAATGAGTAATGAAAAAGATACATTTGGTCATGAAACAGAGGTAGGAATTTTGAGGTAAATTAGAAAAAAAGGATATATATTTTGAAGGAGTAATGAAAAGAGCTGGAGATACATGGAGTGACTGAAAAAAAAGATATAAAAAGTTGAAACAGAGGCCAGAAAGGAAACATCCTGCAATGGAGAAAACAGATTTGATTAAGTGTGTATCTGATATATGATAGTAACTATTGGATCTTTTAATATGATTCATGAAATTAGTGACTTTATTAACCTATTTGGTAAAGTAGAAAATAAAAATACCTTAAATACAAAAATATAGCAAGAGGGGTTGGCAGGAAGAAATCATGGTCATGAGATAGCCCAAAAGAGAGAGCATAGAAGTCTGGAAGTGATTTCCTTCTACTTGTTGTGTGCCTATGGATGGCCACTTTATCAGGCTGGGCCTCAATTTCTTCTAATAAAATCTCAAGAAAATCATTTCAGATTTAATGTCTGCAACATGCATTAAGATCTCTTAGGATAAAAGTAAAACATTTTTGAATGGAAAAAATATCATAAACCCAAGACATAAACGATAGACTATTAAAATAGATTTGCAGTGTGTGACAAAGAATTAATATCCATAATGTACAGGAACTCCTGAACCAAGTAAGAAAAAGACAGCCCAAAAGAAAAATAGGCAAAGGATCAGAAAAGACACCTCACAGAAAAGGAAATGCAAATTTTCAGTCTACAGATGAGAGGACACTCAACTTCATTCAAGGTCAGAAAAAAACGTAAATTAGTGCAAGGAGACTAAGTTCCCATTCCTTAGCTCCAATCTTTAAAAACTCTGAAACACTTCCCAAGATTTTTCCTCTAATTTTTGCCCCAAAGTCCATTTGGTGACAACACCTGATTGTTATGGACCTATTTGTAGTCCTTATTTACACTTAGTGTGAAAATATAGGTTTCTCTATAGAAAGAATAATGGCTTTTGATAGAGTGCTGTTCTGGACCTGCTGATGGCATAACATAATATGTAGCACATGCTACATATACAGCATTTTAAATTGTGAAAAATTCTGAATTCTAAAATTTATCTGGTCCCAAGGGTTTCAGATGAAGACTCACAGACCTGTATTTTACTCAATATACATAACTGCATGTAGAGTAGTGATGAAGCATATGAAAAAATCCATTGTAGAGGAAAAAAGAGACTGAATGGAAACATTCAGTGGTAACTTAGTGCTGAAATCATGGGTGACATTTCTCCGCACAATTCAACAAATTTTCTGAAATTAGTAATGTACTATTTGTGAAATTGAAAAAATATGCTGGGCCTCCCCGGTGGCGCAGCGGTTGAGCGCTGGGTTGCGAAGCTGCCCGCAGCCTCTGCAGCGCCAGTTCCATCCCTGGCCACCAGAGGAGGGTCCCACATGGCACGCAGACCTCTCCTGCCACCCGCTGCTCCCCTCAGCAGTGTACTTTGGTCCTTCTGCCTGCTCTGCTCCCCACTCTGGATCTGGTGAATTCTCTCGCCCTCCAGCGCTTCTGACTGTACCCAGTGCTTGTATAAATAAATAAATAAATCTTTAAAAAAAAAAAAAAAGAAAAAATAGTTCTAACCATTCCCTATAGCATAGAGATACTATTACAATGTGCTTTCATTAGAGAGGGAGTTATGAACAATACTATACCTGTCTCATCATGCAGTGCAGCAGTCCCCTCATTAGTTTCACTACACTCTGCAGAAATAAATGGAAATGAGACTGTTATAAACCTCCCTAGATGCAAGAACACTTACTCAGCAACTGCAGTTGGTACATGACCTTTTGAGAACAAGTAACCCTACCCTGGGTTCCTATTTACATGGCATTTACTTTATAGGTACACAGAAGAGCAGATTGTAGCTAAAAGTGGAATCAAAAGCTGCAGTTTATGACTCCTCCAAGTTAAAAAAAAAAAAAAAACCTGAGCGCTGTTTTATATAAAAATAAGGCAACTATTAGAGGAAATTCTGCCCAGACAAAAAGGGACAAGTCAGCTCAAAAATATAAAATGATAAGGATATAAAATACATCCTATGGCTTAGAAAGGCCAACATTATCACTTTTATTTTTTCTAAAGTAGGCAAGATTTATTTTTAAGAATCCACAGAAATATTTATCTGGATATTTCCACTAAAGAATAAAGTGAACTTCAATTCAGAATCTATACAAGATGAATGTTAGTGCAACTCAATTCCTCTTCCATGAAAATAAAAATATACTAACGTACTCAATCTCAGGTCATCATTATTTCTCTTACTAGGACTTGGCAATTTCTAAAGTAGTTAGTTTTCGAATCATAACAATCTAAAATTCTAATTAGTAATAATATACTATACTAGTTGGTATAATATAGTAATAATAATTATATTTATTATAATATGGTATGGTCAGGATTCTAGAAGGACGCATCACTGTGGCATGGGTAGGCAACATATTTTGTAAGAACACAGCTCATCCATTTTACTGTGCTTTTTGTTCCACAATCCAAAAGGAATCCAACCAGGTTACTCCAAGCAATGCTGCCTCAGTGGTGGTTTCAGGACAACCCTGACAACTAACCTACCTAGGAGCCACTTCATTCTGTAGCTCCTTCAAAATATTCAAGTGAGACTACAAGCAATAGGCATAAGGCTAAGTGTTAAATTATGTTCTGTTTAGAAAGCCTTTTACTGAGGAAAAAATAAAGTGTTTCCTTGGGAGAGTTCCCTTAAGTAATTTTTGTCTACAAATGATCCCCTTCACTTACATAACAAGGGAAAAAGTGAGAGGAGAGAAAAGAGGAGGGGTAGGGGGAAGGGAGGGGAAAAAGAACAGAGGTAGCACACCTTTTTATCACCTTTTAGAGGATGAAGTATTTAGGATAAAGTAATGAGACTGAGTGCAATGCCTACAAGAAAATCTCTATCATTACTCTGATCCTAATGAAAGCGACTGTCCTTTAAAACACCTTGTTACAGAAAGCATTTAACAAAACCACCTCACTCTGTGGGGAGACTTTATTCAGTTCTGGGTTATCTTCTACATGTCACCACATACTCACAGGTTGCTATCACATCCTTTCAACTCTCATTACCATCTAGCTCTGCTACTCCCATCTACATTTTCTTTAACTTAAACATCAAGTCTGGGAAATCATGGACCCAGTAGGGAATTTCTGACTGCCATCCACTTTCGTGCTCCTGGAATGGCCACTGGCAGTCATTCTGTTCTCAAGTTGCAATTTCCAAGTCAGAATAAACTTAATAAAAGCATGGGGAGGTAGGAATGTGGGGAAGTATCTATATTCTGTGTTCCCCCAAACTTGTCATTTTGTTATCCAGGTGTACTAGCTGGCATTAATTATGCATGTCTACTCATACACCACGGCTTCTAACCAAACCAAGTGACATCCTCCTCTCACCTACTCTGTTTGAGGGTATGGGTCTAGATATCTGTGTACTGACTATATCAGATCATATAACTATATATATTATTTCTATAAGTCATAAAAATATTGATCCGTACTTCCTGAGCTAAAGCAAAAACTCATCATTTTTTTTCCTAGTGGACCTAAGTACCGGTCAATAATAGCTTGAAGGAATAACAAATGTCTGCAGTTGCAGAGAACACATCAAAACTTCTTTATTGCAAGGACTGCAGCCCCGAAATATGTTGGTGCCTTTAAAAATAACCACGTCTCAATATTCTGATTTGTAGAGGAAGACTAGAGCTCAAATTGCCTAAGAAAAACTGAAAGCAACTACTAAGAAAATAGTGGGCGCAGAAAGACTCTTTCACACTAATGAAAACCCACATACACTTTTCAACTGACAGCAGAGTATTTCAACATTAAGAGTCCTATGTAGCCTCAAAGATTATTTTCTTGGTAATTCAAGAGGACACAGCATCCTGTGTCCAGACAGTTCTATAAAGATGCTTCTTTACAGAGAGAAGGCCCTTAAAAGTTTGGCTTAAAGGCCTCTGCTGACTCTGACCTTATTTTGTCCCCCTTTGGGGGAGGGGAGACACACAGACTTGAAAGCAGTATAAAAATCAAGAAATAAACAGTGTGTTCTTCTACCTAGTTGGGAAGGTGAGCTAATCTGTGTGAGTTACCCTCATACAAATACTACCTATCATTTTAAAAAGCAAAGTAAAATGGTAAATACCTGCCTCTACATTCATTTCAATGAGAATAAATATGCTAGAAACTGTAAAATACTTTTACTCAGAAGGAGGATTATAGATTTTAGGAAAGATCCCAAGGAGGATTTCCCACTGTACCAGAACAGACTGTGCCCTCTTCCCCTGAATCAGCAAGTTTCAAGTTTCCACTGGAAAAAAAAAACCCAAAACCAAAAACAAACTGGGCACAATACAGTAAAGCTGTTTGAAATGTAATTTCAGGAAGGTGGGGAAAGGCAAAATACAGTTCTCTTAGCTCAGATGGTCTATATTTCCACCCCCTTTAGCCCCCCTATTCTCATCTCTTTAGATTGTTATTCTTAGTACCTGCTCCAATTCATAGGCCTTTGCCTTATCCTCATCGCGGTCGGCATTCTTCCGATAGGCCAGGCCCAAACCCCACACAGCCAAGATGCTGTACACATTATCCCGGACCCAGGCATCTTTCTGATCATAGCTAGCTGGAAGCAAACCAGTCACTGGATTCTGCAAAGCCAAGAAAAAGAGGACAGGGAGGTAGGGTGTTAATATTAGGAAAAACAATCTATCAAATGGGTTACTTAGGACTTTGGTCTTTGACTTCCCCAATGCTGTTTTATAACTTCCTCTTTTTCTGACCAAATGCACACAAATGCTACATTGAATGATGGGAAAGAGCTAATGGAAGTCCTAGCAAATGTGGGGATTATCAAAAGAAAGGTGGTGTTTTAACTCTCCAGTTAGAAAGAATGAACTACCAACGTAAAACCAAAATGAAAGAAATACAAAAAAAAAAAAAATGAAATGAACAGTACAGGTGTTCACAGCAGTCTACTCTTCAGAGGGCCAAATGTCCCTCTCTCTCTTCATTGGCAGGAGGGGAAGGAGATGATGCCCAAACCTAGGTGGGGGTGTCAAAGGCAGTAAGGAAGTTTCAACACCTCTTCCAATTCTGTCCCTGGGGCCCAAATGTTGGGGGAGAGGGTGGATAGAGGAGATGGCCTCGAGGCTCCGGCTTGGGGCTGAGGGTGCCGGAGTCTGGTACGTGTGTGTACGTACGTACACACACACACACACACACACACACACGTGCACACGCGCGTTCACCCATTCACCCAGGGCCTCCGTCTAAGCTGTCACAACGCATGTCCTCGATTGTTACAGGCGACACCCCTTGACTGCCTCTCGTCGGTAACAGGTGACACCCCTTCACTTACTTGATGGCACAGGATGGTCTGGTGCACTAGCCTGGCGTAGCTGTCCAGTCGGACCCCTGAGTTACTGCGGCTCCTCATGGCGCCACGTCTCCAGCCGCTCTAGAGAAATGAGCTCGGGACGACCAGGGACCTCGGTCCTCCAAGGAAGGAGGCGCCAGCGCAGCTCTACTGGCGGCGGAAAGCCCGAGAACCCGGCCCGGCTGCGGCCTTCCAATACTCAGGCCTGGGCCCGCCGTCCAGGCAACCGCGGCTTCCGGAGCTTCCCCCGCCCGCGAGCGCTCCGCTCCGCAGCCCGAGGCCCCAACCTGCGCCCGGACGCCTCTCCCCGCGCCCTTACGCCCGTCGGGTCTCCGCGCGGGGCGGCTACAGCCGCCGCGCGACCCCTGGAGCCGCCGCGGCCCAGAGCCTTCCGCGTCGCCACTGGCGGCAGGTCAAGCCCGCGGCACCGCCTCCACCTTGCGCGAGACGCGGGCGTGGGGCGGGCCCATGCCGCCCGGGTCCTGGCAGCTGCGCTGGGCGCCCCGGGGGCCCACGGCGCCCACCCGCCCGCGCCCAGCCCCCCGCGCCCGGAGAACGCGGCGCCCCTTGAACGTGTGCTTCCTCCAGGCGTGTTTTCCAAACGCGGCGCAGCGCGCTTACAGTTTTCCCCGCTTGCTGCGCGCGCAGGACGTAGAGGCCGCGGCGTCCGCCAACCCCGCTAGTTTTAGGAACCGAGGGCACTTCAGCCCTAAAGGGAAAGAGGCGCGTTTGTGTTTTGGGGGTGGCAGGTCAGGGAGCATTTCTACTTTTGACTCAACAGTTCGGATGAAACACTTCACTCCCACCCAAACAGAGAGGACTCCCCGGGGTCCTTTTTTCCTCAGAAACTGGCCAGTCTTCCCTCTGGGCCAGGCGGTTCTGGGCGAGTTGAGGAAGCGAGCGCCCCGGGCGGCCGCGCCTGAGCGAGCCTGGCCCCGCGGGAGCTGGAGGAGGTTGTATAACCGCTTGGGAGAGCGCGGCCGGCCGGGGACGCGTAGGTCTCTGGGCTGAGGCGACAAAGACTGAGCCGGCCGGAAAGAGGTGGGGGCGTGAGGAGAGAAGGGGAGACTGAAAAAGACGCCGGCGGGTACCGCCCGCGCGAGAACCTGCCGCTTCCCTGCCCGTCCGGCCCAGGGCCTTTGTTCCGGCGTTTGCTGACCCAGGCCCCCACCCCCATATCTCCACCGATGCAAACCCCGCGCTCCTCGCAAAGCTCGCCTTTCTGTGGGCGGTAAGAGAACTTGACCGATTGACCCTTCACATTTTCCAACTCTGAGTCACCTCACCTAGACCACAGCGATTTTGCATTTTCATTTACCTTTTCTCGAAACTTAGTCTCTCCTCTTATGTCCCCTCGTTCCAACCCCCACGCTACCCGCCGCCCAAATTAGCATAAAGACAGACACCTAGGAGTTGACTAGCAAATATTTGGTAATGTTGATGATGAAGGACAGAATGTTCGAGAACTCAGGTCTAGGACTTTAAGGTTCAAGGGCCACATAGACAGATACTTTTAGAATAGTCAAGCAAATAGTTTCCATTGCAGTCACTAGCTGCGTAAATGCGCGGCTGGCCAATAACTAGCCACTTCGAGGTCCAGGGTGGGTGGGGGGGTGCGGGGGCGGAGAAAAAACATCTTGCCTGGGGAAGCTGCTTCCTTTGGGGGAAAGTAGCCCTGTAGCTTCCCTGCTCTGTAACTCGCTGACGCTTTGCGTCAGCCTGTGGCCTCAAAAGGGGTTTCTCCACCCTTGTCCCCCTCCAGGCCACTATCTTTTCGTTCACCTCACCTTCATTTCAAAATGTCTTTTAAAATTTTAAAGTAGCTCATTAAAGGAAACTTGTAACGTATAGAAAAGTAAAACAAATCACCCTTAATTCTTTCACACACAGAAACACCTGTTAATATTTTTTTTTCTATTTTTTAAACTGCCTTCTCTCTCCTCTCCCTCCATAAATTAGAAAGATGAATAGATTAGGAATGCCAAAGGTAGGGTGTCACCAAGACAAGTAACTAATTGGCTATAAGAGACATTGCTGGATGGCATTACCCAGCTGCTTTCTATCTCAGTCCAGGCTGGGCCTTCAGTCCTGCAGCCTCAGACGCTTGATCTCCTCTGTGACCCAGAATTGGTGGAACTAAGGAGGCTGACTCATGCCCATTACTTCAAGAGAAACAGATGTATGGAAACCAGGATGCTGGTTGGTAATGAGAAATAGTACTGTGACAGATTATGTTGGCTTGACCACCACTTTCTCTCCTTTCATGATACATAGATCTTACTCCATACTAAGTGTTATTTTATACAATAACTAAAATAGATACTGCCATTAACCCCATTTTAGAGACAGAAACTAAGGCACACCAGTCTGTTCTGTTCATGTTGGCAGTCACAGATTCTCCCTTTTCTATGCTTCCATGAGTCACTGACACCTTCGTTTTTAAAAAAGTGAAAGATTTATATGATCCGAAGAGAAATCAGAGTATGACACCTTCATTTTTAGATATGTCAAAAACATCAGCCAAGTTACTGCCAGTCTGGAAGCCATATTTCTTCAAGGTGATTTACTCATTTGAGATGCTGTATATTGATTTTATAGTTTAACTCACAGATGTTTCCAAGGGCCTGGGAATATTTATCTTTCTTTCCTTATATCACCTGGGAGTTTCAATCAAACAAAATTTTAAACATCCAAAAATTTTTAAATTTCACATTTTATAAGTATTTTCCACAGTTTTGCATTTTATTTTAAAGTCTACATTAGTTTTCTTTCTTGTAGATGGCCCACAGTTCGCTTAGCTATTCCCTTATTCTCGCAATTGCCCATTTACCTTTAATAGAAATATTTATAACTTCATAAAATCTTGAGTTTCTCTTTAGCATCCTTTCAACTCAACCTCGCCCTTTAGCACTTCTTGTTGGGAAAGTCTAATGGCTGTATACCCCCTCAGCTTTCATTTATGGAGATATATTTTAATGTTTTCCTCATTTTTTTTTGTGGGACCCTCGCCGGTGGCTGGGGATCGAACTGGAGCTGCAGAGGCTGCGGGCAGCCTCACAACCCAGAGCTCAACCGCTGCGCCACCAGGGGAGGCCCGCCCTCATTTTTAAAGATTAGTTTTTCCAAATATAGAATTCTTGACTCATACTTTTAAATTTTTATTTATTTTTAATTGAGGTAATATTTGGATATCCCCATCAGGTATACCCACCACCAAATCACCCACAGTCCATCATGCTTCTTTCTCTCTTTATTCTTAATTCTCCGCCACCCCTCCCCACTTCTGGATGCTTCAGTTCTATAGTCAGCTTTCAAGAGTTGAGTTTTTAAGTTTGTCTTTATCTGACTCTTAGTTTAGCTATTCTATATTCCACATATTAGTGACACCATCTAGTATTCATCTTTCTCCTTCTGACTTATTTTTCTTAGCATTATCCCTTTCAGCTCCATCCACGTTATGGTGAATGGCATGAGTTTATCTTTTTTGATCTCTGAATAATATTCCATTGTGTATATATACCACATCTTTTTTTTTTTTTTAATGGGACCCTCGCTGGTGGCCGGGGATCAAACTGGCGCTGCAGAGGCTGCGGGCAGCCGCTCAACCGCTGCACCACCAGGGGAGGCCCTATACCACATCTTGATCCACTCATCTGTTTGGGGCCACTTAGGGTGTTTCCATAATTTAGCTATTGTACAATAAATAGTGCCGCTATGAACACAGAAGTACAGGTTTCTTTGCAAATTGGTGTTTTTAATTTTTTTTAGTAGATGCCTAAGAGTGGAATTACTGAGTCAATCCATTTTCAATGTTTTGAGATGCCTCCATACTGCTTTTGGTAAGGGCTGAACTAGTCTACATTCCCACCAGCAGTGTAGGAGGGTTCCCTTTCCCCCACATCCTTGCCAGCACTTATTATTTCTGTTTTTTTTTTGATATGTGCCATTCTCACCGGTATGAGATGGTATGTCATTGTGGTCTTGGTTTACATTTCCTTGATGGTAAGTGATAGTGAGCATTCTTTGATGTGCCTGTTTACAGACTGTATGTCTTCTTTGCAGAAGTATCTGCCCATTTTTTTTAAAGATTTATTTATTTATTTATACAAGCACTGGGTACAGTCAGAAGCGCAGGAGGGTGAGAGGATTCACCAGAGCCAGAGAGGAGAACAGAACAGGCGGACTGAGGAAATACACTGCTGATGCGAACAGCGGGCGGCAGGAGAGGTCTGTGAGCCATGTGGGACCCTCGCCCATGGCTGGGGATTGAACCAGCACTGCGGAGGCTGCGGGCAGCTTCGCAACCCAGTGCTCAACCCTGTGCCACCGGGGAGGCCCCTCCTTCTGCCCATTTTTTGACTGAGTTATTTGTTTTGTTTTTGTAGCTTTGTGTGCCTCTATTGACATGCTCATAGAATAATCAGAACAAAACACACTAACAATTGGGATGCTTGACATAAACCATGCACAAGAAAATACACCAAATATGAATGGAAAAAGATCTTATGATGGCTTTTTTTTTGGCTTTTTTTTTTTTACTTTGAGCCAGCTTTTTAAGATAAAGGACTGATCACAAAAATCTACAGCGAGCTGATGAGACTCAACAAAAACAAAGAAAATAATCCAGTCAAAAAATGGGGAAAAGAGCTAAAAAGAAACTTCTCCAAAGAGGAAATGCAAATGGCCAACAGGCATATGAAAAAATGTTCAACATCACTTGTAATCAGGGAAATGCAAATCAAAACTACAATGAGATACCATCTTACACCAGTGAGAATGGCATATATTAAAAAAACTAGCAATAACAAATGTTGGCGAGGTTGTGGAGAAAAAGGAACTCTCCTGCATTGCTGGTGGGAGTGCAAGCTGGTCCAACCACTATGGAGAGCTGTGTGGAGATTTCTTGACCTACTCGGGATAGAGCTTCCATGTGATCCAGCAATTCCACTCCTAGGTGTTTACCCAAAGGACACAGAAACATTAATTCCAAAGGGCACCTGCACCCCTATGTTTATAGCAGCACTATTTACAATAGCTAAGCTATGGAAACAACCCCAATGCCCAAAAATAGATAACTGGATCAAGAAGATGTGGTACATATACACAATGGAATACTACTCAGCAATCAAAAAAAGATAAACTCATGCAATTTGCAGCAACATGGATGGAGCTGGAAGGGATCATGCTCAGTGAAATAAGCCAGAAAGAAAAAGAAAAATACCAGATGGTCTCACTCATAGTAGGAGTTTAGAAAACCTAAATAAGGGACCAGGA